TATGCCATCATAAGAAAAATACAAGAACTTCGTAATCCACTCTGAGTAACAAGCAACTACTTACTCAATTAGCCAAGAACTTTCCATTTGATTTCATCCGGAGAAAATCACTATACATCACATGTTCCTCACGCTAGTAGAAAATATACATCTCAAACCATGGTAGAAACCATCGAGAACTCTCCGAAACCCATTTGCACATAACCAAACCATCAGAACTGAATCTCTCTAACTCAGCCAAGCCACGAAGGCCACCAAAAATCAAGAGTACCGCCACAAAACACCTGTAGAAACTCACTACCTTATATGGACCAAAATCGCCAATCACATCCATTACCATGTTGATCTAACCTACTACCAAACTGTCCTATTTATCCTAGTTCCTTCTAAATTACCTTCAAATTGATACTTCTCCTTGCCATAATACCACAATCCTCAACCAAGACTCACCATATGATACCCTAGCATAAACCACACCGCCTTAAGGCTCATAAGTCGTTGAATGCTCTCTTAATCACCCCAAAAGTACCACAACCGAGATACCCACTCTGAAGAGCCCTTCTCAAATCTAAAGCCATTACCTTCGCCTTCCTAATACTGATATGTAGAATCCATAATGATATATAAATGCCACAAGTCCTGACATCCTCCAATATGAATCTCAGTTTCTAGCCAAATACACATCCTAAAGATTCCTAATTTCCACACTCAAATCTTGAATTCATTTGAACCATTCTCGAGAGTCTTCCACTCTACTCAAATCTCAATTAGACTGACCAAATGGACTGAATGACCGGTGCCCCATTAGCACTCCAACACAAAAGGAAGTAACTTCACCTTAATGCAACCAAATATATTCCTGCTCCATACACATTACATCCTTCACCAATAATAACTCAAATCATTTCGTGATTCTCATATACTCATAAAGTTTACCAAGAATTTCCTTTATTCAAGTCATCCTCGATCTCACCCTCTATAGAACATAACTCATCCATAAATATACCTCAAACTGAAACCAATACAACACATAATCGTGAAATCAACTTATCAACAGTGGACTCCACCACTTGGCTCAAAGCCATAGATTAAAGCACACCATAGCTCCGAATGACCATACTTTATTACAACCATAATATCGTAGTCTGATTCAACTAAATCCTCCATAAGTTCATGCAACACAAACCATATAATACTCCAAATCATTTGCAAATCTCGTATTCATCCTTGTAACATACAAACCCACTCTCATAAGCGATATAAACTCAAATTGCAACACATATTTCACTGGTAAAAGAGAACTCCCAACAAAAAATCATAGGGATCACACAAACCTCAGGATACCCCGCAGGAGATAGCCTACCGGCTTTGCCTCAAACTGACCTCTCTCTATACCCTTCCATGGTCATAAACATTACGCAATCACTTAATCTTCCTAAGTCTGAACTCATATAGCGACATGAAATCTACTTCACTCCTCAACTAATCAACATGAAAAAAACTTTCAACACACTCATAACTTGGGACTATACATTAAATCAAGATGGAAATCAAGCACCAAATAGTTCCTTCTACACTCTAAGCAGACCCTTCTCGTCACATTCAACCGTATGAACACATCTCGCAGTCATATCATACTCATCATGTAGCCATCTAGCCATAAATTCTACGAATAGGGACATTGTCGGACATATAAATCCAAAAGCACGTGCTCACCAATCAACACCTATGTGCTCAAACCACAGTCAAAACCTGGCCTCAAGTCCTCCAGGCCCATCATCAGCATACTAAAATTACATCTCGCACCTCTTCCATGGAATCACAAGCCATCGATGCACAGCTGATACCGAGCGCTCACATACGCATATGAATGCATGGAAGAAATTCAAAAAGTCACGCTTCAAGCTGAATCAATGTCGCATGATAAGGAATGAAAGATGGGAAGTATATCCTAAATGTCCTGTAGCCTTTCGAAGATAGATATGGACGTCATCATACCGATCCGCAAGACTCTACTAGACACTTTCTCATGACTTGTAGAACCTATGAACCTAGAGCTCTGATACCAACTTTTCACGACCCAAAATCCACCAGTCGTGATGGCACCTAACTCAAACCGCTAGTAAGCTAATTAACAATTATCCAGTTTCATTTAACTTAATAGAACAATTAAACAAGAGAATTATCTAAATCTTATACATTTCCCAAGGACTGGTAGTACAAATCATAAGCTTCTACGAATGGAGTTTACAAAGAAACAATGGAACAATTACACAGTCGGTTTGAAAAGTACATAAATAGAATTTTATAGTCTAAGGCTACCATGAACAAGAGGCAGCTACAGCAGGAACGCGAGTACGCCTTCAAATCCAGCAACCATCGAACGTAGCAACATCGACATTCGGGATCTGCACGCATTGTATAGGAAGTGTAGCATGAGTACAACCGACCCCATGTACTCAAAAAGTAACAAACATAACCTCAGGTTGAAAGAAGTGACGAGCTAACACAGGATCGGGTCCAATCCTATATTTTTGCAACAGTTCGTAACAACATAAATGCAAGTATAAAAGAGATATCTCAAAAGTAAAATACTCAGCTCGTCCACAATTCCAGAAATACTCAGTATATTTTTCCAAATATTCTTTTCACAATATATAAAATATTTCATTTTCTTTCCAAATAACAGGTATAAAGTGCCTCTCCATACCCACATATCAATGGATATAATAAGTCATGAATGACGTGATACTATATAGTATGAGGAAGAATGCATCTCTATGCATGTATGTCATGTATGCATGTGAATGCCATGTGTCTTAGAGATAAAACATGTACTCACACTCTCTGAGTACTCAATCTCATTACCTTGCATCCTCTCTTACTAAGCTCAATACTCAGCACACTAAATCACTCAGCGCTGTATAATAATTGATGCGGCGTGCAGCCCGATCCATATATATATAGTCGACAACGCTCACTGGGGGTGCATAGACTCCGGAGGGGCTCCTACAGCTCAGGCGCTATATTGCTGCGGCATGCAACCCGACCCAANATACACTCACAATTTGACCCTTGGCCTCACTCAGTCATTACTCTCTCCAGTCTCGCTCATGAGCTCAAAATGTCATGAAACCATCCCGACAACAATGATATGATGCATCAACACTAACAGCTAAGACTGAGATACGATATGAATGTATGTGTGAGCATGTGATTTTTTCCCTATATGAATTAATCCTACAGAATCCTAAGAAAATAGATTTTTTTGTTAATTATTTGCAATTTTAGGAAGTTTTCTAGAATTTTCTTAAATATTTGCATTTTTTTGTGCATGTTTAATTTTTATTTTTAATCATGAAAAAAATACCAAAACTATCATGCATTGCATTTAGGATTTGTTTTTGCATTTTTAGAAATGATCAATGATTATTTGTTTTATAAAAATTTGAAAATCGCAAAAAATAGCTCATTGTGACATTTTTGTCTTTTAATTTTTAGTTTATTAATTTTTTCTTTTTTAATTTAGAATTAAGTGTTGTTAATAATTTTTATAATTAGCTAATTAGTTTAATTTCATACTTTTAGATAATTTAGGATTTTTAATTTGTAAGATTTTAATTAAAAGAAAAGGAAACAATTTGAAATAAAAGAAAGAATTGCAAAAAGGGGTTTATTTTTGTGGAATTGGGCCAATTTCTATACATTTAATCCAGCCCAAATCTGATCCCAAACCCTTTTGACCCAAGCTCAAACCCTGCAAACCCGGTCCGACCTACCTTCACCCAAAACGACACAGTTTCACTTCAAAACTGTCATTTCACTCATTCCCCCCCCCCCCCCCCCCGGTTAAACGACCAAACATAACCCTGTCTTCATTTAACTAATTTAGTCCCTATTTAGGTTAAACCTAATTCTATTTCTCTCTCAAATCGCCACCTGCTTCCACCATAGCTCTGCCGCCCGAAAATCACCCCACGGCGACGGAGCACCTCCAAACGCCTCAAAATCTTAACCCTACAACCTCCGCCATCTCCTCGTCCTTGTTCCACCATTGATTTCCCTTAAAGATCACCCAATCCTTCCGAATTATAGATCAAAAAAATTAAAAATACAAACTTTGTTCTTTTTCCCAAATTTTTCGGATTAAACCCTCAATCCATAGCAAAACCCCCCGTGAATTCCCCAATTTCTTCAACAAGATAACTTCGTTTGAATATCAAGAAGCCCTATCTCGTGGATTTGGGTCAAATTTCGGGAATTAGCTTTTGAACGTTTCAATTTATTCGAGCCTCTGCCTCGCTTCTTTTGGCACACATTGAGGATTGTTGCATGAATCATTAGCCATGAATGAAAGTTTGGCTATTATTCATTTTGCAATTCTCACTGTTTGGTCTAGTTTCTTGCTCGCCGGAGTTCGAGTATGAGTCGTCACTGTCCTTGGAGTTTCTAAAGTTTGATTGGATTCAATTGGTATACTCCTTTTTCCTTTTTTCTATGAGTTCAATTATTGGTCATAAGCTCGAATCTCTTCTCCCTTTCTATAATTCTGTAGGTTAAATTAGAGTTTTGGGCATTTTGTTAATTAATAAGTGATTTAGCTTTAATTTGCATTTTTTTCTTTCAATGAGTTCCAAATCAAAAGCATGTTGTCTCGGTCCTCGTGTTTGGATGCCACTTTCTTTGATTCTGTTGGTTTGTTTGTTTAGCTCAGAATTGAGTTTTGTTAGTACACAACGGGCAGGCCCATTAAATAAAGGGTTTGGCCGAATGAAGGTCCAAAACTTTTGAGGCCTGTCCGGTGGCCCAAGTCCACATTTAAAAGAACTGGGGAGGCTAATATAGGGATTTTAACTTAGAAAATTTTAGATAACTACCTAGGAAGCTTCTAGAAAGCTGACAAAGATAAAAGAGGGGGAATATTCTGTGGGGCAGGGGGTAAGTGTTTTAAAATAAAAGTTTTAAGGGTGCATTTGAATGAAAAAATCTGATGTTGTTGCCCTAATCCTCTTTATAAAAGGCCCTCTTTCCAATCATTAGGAACACAGAAAAAAGGGTGAAAAAACACAAACGGCTGAAATCAGCTCTTTTCCAAAAAATTCTGAAGAAATTTTTTGAGTTCTGGCTATTTTTGGAGTCATTTGGTAGAGTTATTCTAAAGCTGAAACAAAATTTTGGTTTTTTGGATTCGCTGATATTCGATTTGAGCTGAGCTGCTGCAGACTTCTTTCTTCCTTTGATCTGGTTTTTCCATTTTCTTTTTTAGGTATTTTCTGAACTTTGTATGCTTGGTTTTGAGTTGTATTTTGAATAGAAGCTGATTTCCTTGGACTTTGAGTATGAATGAAGTTAGATTCTGCTTTTCTAGTAATTGTCTTTCGATTTTTCAGCTGATTCAAAGCTCCAAATCTACTTTGGTTTTGTGTTTGAGTAATGGTTAAAGTAATAAAACAATAGGAATGGCTTATTAGTGTTCAGTAGTTGGTTTAAAAACATGCCATCATGCAGTGATATTTTTTTGTTTCTTTCAAAAATATGTTTGTTTTTGTTCGTTGTTAGTATTGTTCTTTAGTTTCAAGCCATAGTAGGACATCATGGTTATAAGCAAGCTGGTCTGACTGTTGTTGATTAGATTGGCAAGCCATAAACCAAGGTTAGAATTTTAAAGGTTGTTAAAAGAAAAGGGCCTGGGAGTTGATGATTCAGTCGTGCTCCATTGGAATCAATTGAAGTCCATTTGGTACAAGTTCAAATCCAAAATTTGGCATCTTGAGTTGGTAATTGAATAGATGGCAGTGTTCTTCGCATCATCAGTTAGTTTTAATTTATTAGGGCATGTAAATTTAAAATTCCCCTTTGATTCAAGCTTCATTAAGCCATGGCAGTTTTGTATAATTTTAGTTCAAATTGGGATGTAATTCATGTATTATGGAAGTTTGGGTAATTTGAAGTTTCGGAACTATTTCCTTTTAAGCAAAAATTTATAATTTTCCATTGTTTAATTCTTATCATGCAATGTTATTGAATATTGATTTGTTCTGAACCATCAGCAACCATCTTGCTTCTAGTTTACGTCTGGGCTCAGTTGTGGGCCTAATGGGGAACGATAGCCCATTTCCTCTGTCTAAAAGAGAAGGGAACACTAAATCGTATATTGGGCCTGCTTTTGGCCCAGTTTTTGCCTTGAATATTTCATAGCTTGTTTACGTTGCTTATACGTTATTCAACGACTTGAGACCAAAGTTTAGATGAAAATCTCCTTAGGTTTAATTAAGTGTAGTCCGTTTAAAATGGTTAGAGGCGTGCCATCTTTCGTCAAAATTACTCATGGCCCTCTTTTTAATAATACCAAATTTAGGAGTAATTAATTCTTTAAATATCCGTAGTTTGCTTTAGGCATGTTTGTTAAACTATTATAACTACGGGTATGGTTCCCGTGGCGCGGTTGTGATAATTAGTTTAAAATAGGAGTACCTTTAATTTACCTTTAAAATATATATGACCCTCTTTCTTAAAATAATTTGAGGTGTGTCATGCCTTAAATTTATAACACATGGCCCTCACAAATTTAGATCAAGAGCTAATTCTTCTTAAAATAATTTGGGGTGTGCCATACATAAATAAAATCCTTTAAATTATGGCCCTCATATAAATACAAAATTAGTTTAGAAATACCTTGAACCTTCGTAGTTTGCTTTAGGCGCGTTAATTAAATAATTGTCATAGCTACGGGTACGGCTCCCGTGACATAGTCGTGGCGCTTAATTACTAAAATCCGGGGGACACATTTACGTGACCCGGCCACAATTTAATCTTTAAAATTTAGACATGTTGTATATCATGGGTACAACTCCCGTGACATGATTCGCAATATGTAGCAATAATTATTAAAAGCAGTTATAAAAGTTAGAATGCACAATAGGTTAAAACATGTAATAAATAGGATAATAGGCCAATTTTAATAGTTTAAGAGACCGTACTAGAACCACGGAACTCGGGAATGCCTAACACCTTATCCCGGATTAACATAATTCCTTATCTAGAATTTCTGGTTCGTAGACTTTAAAAATAAAAGTCGAATTTCCTCGATTTGGGATTTTAAAATAAACTGGTGACTTGGGACACCAAATAAACTATTCCAAGTGGAAACTCTGATTAAATAAATAATTCCATTTCGAATAATGCCACTTTAATTGAAAAACTCTTTATATCGCCCTCAGGTGGTGAAAAAGGAGGTGTGACAACTCTGGCGACTCTGCTGGGGATCATAACCCAGAACTTTCGTTTAGGGTTTAAGAATTCGAGCTTAGGATAACTGTTATATTTTGGCTATATTCATTATCTGATTTTTACATATTTGAGCCTAATGTGCTAAATGCCGCTTTTTACTATTTTGATATTATTTGAATTGTATATAAACTATTACGAAACCTTTCTCTTCTCATCTTCGAGGATGTGCACGCTAGCGTGACTCCTCTTTCTGTTAATGTCATACCTTGAAATAAGAAAGAGGCTCGGACAAGTTACAAAGCCAGATAGCCTTTTGTTTTCCGGTACGTAGCCCCCCTCGGCTCGAGTTGTCCGCTCGGGTACACAAGTCTAGAACAATATACCCAGGTTTTAAACTTAGAATAACTCAGTCTCATGCTGGATCCCTAGTAGGAACGTTTGCTTGCATCATGTGTATTTGACTTTGGGGACTCAACACAGGGGTTGGGTCCGTCTAGGACAGGTGGACCCCAGAATCAAAGACCATCTTGATGCAAATTTTATGTGCTACTTGTACAATTATTTGTTTCGGTTTGCATGTTGACAGGTTGCTAGAATAGGGAAGGAATTGGAAAAAATAAAATTGAGGTATGAGTGTCACGCCACAAAATCCGAGGAGCACGATCGCGCTCAACCGAGTAAACCCGACTGAGCAAGCCTGTTAGGTTTTATTCTACCCAAACTACTTCATGAATAAATAGGAGATGGACTCCATTAATCATACTTAGTAAGTATTTCATTAACAACTTCCATTTTATTTCCATTAGCAGCTTAAATCATAATTATCAAAATATTACAAATTTTATAAATCTTTGCTAAACATCAATATTTCTACTTTAATTCCAATACCCGACACTACCTACAACCTGTCTACGAAGCCTCTAAACACACCTTAAGAGTAATGTAATATGAAAATGCCGGTAACAAGGCTCCGGCTATACCTCAAATACAAAGTACATGATGAACAGATGAAACAAGACCCCGAAACGAAGTGAGGCTTACCAAGTCAGCTGAAAGGATGATACGGCAGTAGCTGCGACCAACACTGCCTGCTATAGAACACCTACATCCATTAAAGACGTAGCGCCCCCAGCAAAAGGGATGTTAGTGCCATCGAATAGCACTAGTATGTATAACTAAACACCATCTACTTAGAAAGAACTTTCATACAAGAATAAGAAATGACAAGTATAACTCAAAACTTTAAACGATCACCACATTATCAAATAAAAGAATCATACAACTTTCACATCATTTTCCCGTAGCTTTTATTTTGGGGAATTTCACACTATTCATCATTTGTTCACAATACCACCGCTATTTTGAGCGGAGTCCGATCTCGACCCGATCGGCTAGGTTGCCTCATTTGAGACATATGCTTCAATCACTATCTCATTTTCCTTCTTTTCCGGAATTCATTCACAATACCACCGCTATCTTGAGCGGAGTCCGATCTCGGCCCGATCGGCTAGGCCGCCTTTCCAAGGCATTTTTCCTTTCGTATTAATCACTTCGTTTCACATATATCATTTCATAGGTACTTGGGGCCACAACTTATCACATTATCCTTGGCACTACACCACATTTTTACATCGTTCCCATATTCAACATTAGCTTTGCCACTTAGGACAGTAGGTGCACACAAGAGCAGTTTAAATCATAAGCATAGATAAGACTTCACGTAGATGCACAACAATGCAACTTCAATCTAAATTTAAGGTCTAAGCATTTCAATACATGATTCATATTCCATAATTCATGTTTCACATTGTTCCCATTTTCAACATTTACTTTGCCACTTAAGATCATAGGTGCATACGAAGGCAATTTAAATCATAAGCATAGAGAGGAATTCATCAAGTTTGGCATATTAGTCCCAAAGTAACCTTGACATGACACTTAGGTATTTAGCACATAGATCATGTTCTCCGCATATCCTCCATTTACAAAGAATAACACATTAAACACATGAAGAAGTACCTACCACATACATTTTCACAATAATAATCTACTTAACATAACAAGTATTGTATCAATCACGTTTCGAACTTACAACATTTACACGGGCACCATGGAAGCTCAATTTCCAAGAGACGGGGTTTTAGCCATACATACCTCAATGGAGCTTTCCTTAAATCTCTACACTACACCAATACCTCTAGCAATAACAATCTATAAGGTGATAGCGGAAATCGATTAATAATTAGGAAGATTATCCATGGTGTAACTCTCTTAGGAATTTCATCAAACACCTAGCATGTGAAGTAGACTACAAGGTTTAGAAATGGCAATTCCTTCCCCCCTCAACCAATTTTAACATGAACGACCTATATTAGTTCTTTAACATCACATACTACAACTTAGTCCCACATGCATGGCCTATTTCTGACCCCACAACATATTTGAACCTTTAATCTATTGCATGGAGTTTTGGAAGTAGGACTTACCCGGTTGGAGGACAATCTATGGTTATCTTCCTTGATTCTTGAAGACTTGAGCAAGATTTGGATTATTATGAAGTTAGGCCCCACCTTTATCTCTCTATATGCTCTCATCTCTCTCTAAAATCAGTAGAAAGTGACCCCAAAATGAACCCCAAAGCCTATATATTAAAATGAGGCCGGGTTACAAAAATAGGAAAAATAACCCTCCGAAACCGGGTCTGCGATCGCAGAATGGACCGCAAAACAAGAATGTGGACTGCAGAATGCACCAATAAATAGGTTCCCAAAACTGGGCAACACTGGCCCAATTTGCGACAGATCTGCTATCGCAAAGTCAAAAATGCGACAGATTTGCGATCGGAGATTCGACACAGGATCGCATTTTCCAGCCTTTGGTAATTTGATTATAACTTTGTGTAGGAATGTCTAAATGACAAACAGTTTGACTTTTTGGAAAGTAGACTCAAAGACCTTTCATTTGATAGGTTGTTCATCTAATAAAACTTTATACATATTTAGATATGCTTGTTTAAAGTGTGGTCTTATGCAAACTCAATTGGAATCTTAGCCTATTATGAAACTTTCCAATGTGACTTAGGCTTAGGCCTTTCCTTGGGCCCGAAATTACTTACCATAAGACTTGTACACTTATTCACCAAATCCAATTGATGCCCACCATGTTAATAGAACATAAAATATTATAATTAGCCTATGTGGCACCATGAAATCCTAGATTACTTAGCGAAATATTCTGGGGCCTTACATTNATGCCCACCATGTTAATAGCACATAAAATATTATAATTAGCCTATGTGGCATCACGAAATCCTAGATTACTTAGCGAAATTTTCCGGGGCCTTACATTCTCCCCCCCCAGGATCATTCGTCCTCGAATGAGGAGTAGAGCCTGACCCAAATACCTAACATAACATATCTCTTTTCTACCCTATCTCACGTCCCTAAATTTTGACTAACTCCCAAATTTTTCAGAAATTTCGGCAGTATCTTCTTTGTAACTAGGCCTATCCACCTGTCAGAGAATCACTCAAAACCATCCTAAAACTCATCCATAACTCGACAAAGCACCACAATGTATATATTAATAACATGAACCTCAGCATTACAAGCACTACATTATCATGATGATACGTGGACATGGACTGCACGTTTTTAAATCATAACACCTAGAAGGTACTTTTCAAATCAAAACCAACTGTTATACAATCAAGAGATAGAAAAATTTAAATTACAGTTAGAAGAAGTACAGGATAATCCACCAAACATAAGCA